ACAGAATTCCCACAAGAATAACCACAAACCATAACAAAGCGGAACAATATTCTTGGTCCGCCTTTGTACGTCTATCTCGATCCAATCATTCAAATTTCCACTCATCAACAAGTGAAGCCTGTCGCCCTCTGCCTTCTGAATGCCAGATCGATGAAAAAAAATTCATTTATTATCAAAGACTTCGTTGTTGACGATGAAACTGACATTCTCGTAATCACGGAAACGTGGTTGCAAGCTGACATTTCTGACCAGATCACTGTCAATAATGTCTTTCCTACTGGATTTGTTCTTTACCATCTACCTCGTGCTAGACATAGGGGTGGTGGTGTTGCCTTGCTATATAAGAACCGATTCAGAGTAAAGAAAGTGTCACTAGATGTTTCTTTCAACTCATTTGAGTTTACAGATTGTATGATCAGCTATTTGACTACGGATAGTGGTAGTTTACAGACCTCCACCTTCTAAAAAAAACCAAGTGATCGTTATCGTGTTCCTTGAGAAGTTCAGTTCCTTTCTTGAAAAGATTGTAACGACTTCTGAATCACTAATCATCGTCGGTGACTTCAATTTCCATCTGGGCAATTAAAATGATCGATCTGCCACTCGGTTTCAAGATGCTAGGGGCCTACAACATGTACAGGATTCAACCCACAAAAATGGCCACACTCTGGACCTACTGATCACTAGAGCGAGTGAAGAAACTGTGCGTAATGTTAGAGTATCAGATCCTGCCGTATCCGAGAGATCTGCATTGGTTACCCCTTTATGAGCGTATTCGTTTTAAAATGTTATCATGATTAACAACTAGCGCCATCTTATCTAGGTGACCTCTTAATTCACTATAGACCATCAACGACATTACGTTAGTCTGATAAAGAACTACTAGTACAGCCCCACGGCCAACTTAAAACATATGGGGAGCGAGTTTTTTCCTTCAGTGCCCCAAAACTGTGGAATACTCTCCATTAAGTATAAAAACGTTGCAAGTCAACCGAATCTTTTAAATCTACTCTTAAGACGTACCTTTCTAGAGATTATTTTGAATTGTAAGAATCATTAACTGTTTTTAGGCTTTTTTCTTAATGTTACATCATTCACTGTTGTAAAGTGCTGTTGGTTCAGTAGAGAAACAGCGTTCTATATGAAGATTATTAGATATATCTTATTAACCAAGCGCGAGGGCCGTTCTGGGAGAATATCGGCCCGAGGTCTTGACAGTACGGACCTAGCGCAGCGAGGTGAGGTCCGTACAAAAAAGACCGAGGGCCGATATTCTTCCAGTACGGTCCCGAGCAAGCTTGGTTAATAAGAGATTTATTATACGACTGAAGTTCAAAGGGACACAAGTGCAGTATCATTCGGGACCATTCAGGACAGTGCCCGGTCCAATACTGAGAGAATATTGACCGCCAATAGAGCACATTGATTCGTTGATTTTAGTTATTGGCCCTCTGACTGCCCGAGTCGTGCAATGATAATTTTTATTACCCTGGGATAATTTGCCCACGACCCACTATAATTTATCCGCGGCAACTTTCCCAAGACAATCTACCCGTCACAATTTGCCCCCGACGACATACGCTCGACTTGCGACTTGCGACTTGCAACAAGCGAAGATACAGCAAGTGTGGTCAGCCATTGGAAAATAATTTGGATATATCAACAAAGTTGAAATGGTAAATTAGCCACCGTAATGATTACAAAACCTGACGTTTCGAGCGTTAGCCCTTCGTCATTCGCTCCGACGAAGGGCTAACGCTCGAAACGTCAGCTTTTGTAATCATTACGGTGGGTAATTTACCATTTCAACTTTGTTGATATATCCAAATTATTTCGTTGCTCCCACCGACGCAGCCCCAAACAGTTTCTTTCGAAACTATCAGCCTTTATTCATTGGAAAATAATGCTGAGCTGCTTAACTGTTACATCGGAAACGTGGCACCTTGGAAAAAAGTTTGGAATGACTTGGTTAAGCCATCACAATTTTCTTTTCTTTTCTTTTCTTTTCTTTCTTTCTTTTCTTCTTTTTCGTTCTTCTTTCTGTTGTACTCGTGGATATAGAGGCGTAGCCCCGGACGAGTAATGTGAGGATTGCATATGCAAATCATGCGGCGTTAGCACAACCTTAGGAGTCAGAGGAGAGTATATACATCTCACCAAAGACGGCGGTTAAATATAGCGAATCAACAGATCGACAATTTCGTGGCATTGACAACCAAAATTGTGCTGGACATGTTCCGCAGAACAAATCATTGATTAAATTTTTTAACTACTCTAGAGGGTAGGGATTAAATATCAAGTCTACTTTCTATATCTTTTTATCAACCTCAATTTTTATCTGTATATTGCCATTAACACTACCATAGAACGATGAATTCTTTACAACAACAGTACAAATAATACATCAGAAATAATAAAGCCACAATAAGAAGGATGTCAATGTTTTTAAAATTCACCATTCAGAAGTTCATTGTTCGAGGCTCAACTCTGTTGTTGGAATCACAGAATCATTGGCTTTTTGTAGAATTACCTACTGTGAATTGTAATCATATACTGCACAGTATATGCACGAGCTCACTAATGGTGACACATTGGTGACGAAGCGCCTGACAGGCAGCACGCGTTTTTTCCTGCTCCGTGATTCTAAGCGAACTTTCTTCAAAATAACTTCCTCGAAACGACAAAGAGCACCACTTTAATCACAAGGAGATTTTTATAATATTGGCCTCTAGTTACATGGCGATATTTTATTGAAGAGCGGCACTGAATGCCATTTTATCTTCAACGACGAAGAAGCCGCTCGGTCGTGAGTTATGGCGCAACATATCTGATCTGGGAATAACACAGCAAAGACCTATGAGATACAATGAATATAAGAAGTTCTTATATTTTGAACTGCGGTATTAGATACGTATGATGCACGATCCTCGCAGTAGATAGCGCTATTTATGCAATAGCGAAAATCAGACCTGAAAAAAATCAGGCCTGTACGGGACTCGAACCACTGACCTCTGCGATACTAGTGCAGCGCTCTACCAATTGAGCTAACAAGCCAACTGGGAGCAGGCCGTTAAGTTGATTCGTAATAAACCCGTGAAAGTGATAAATGAGATACAATGAATATAAGAAGTTCTTATATTTTGAACTGCGGTATTAGATACGTATGATGCACGATCCTCGCAGTAGATAGCGCTATTTATGCAATAGCGAAAATCAGACCTGAAAAAAATCAGGCCTGTACGGGACTCGAACCACTGACCTCTGCGATACTAGTGCAGCGCTCTACCAATTGAGCTAACAAGCCAACTGGGAGCAGGCCGTTAAGTTGATTCGTAATAAACCCGTGAAAGTGATAAATGAGATACAATGAATATAAGAAGTTCTTATATTTTGAACTGCGGTATTAGATACGTATGATGCACGATCCTCGCAGTAGATAGCGCTATTTATGCAATAGCGAAAATCAGACCTGAAAAAAATCAGGCCTGTACGGGACTCGAACCACTGACCTCTGCGATACTAGTGCAGCGCTCTACCAATTGAGCTAACAAGCCAACTGGGAGCAGGCCGTTAAGTTGATTCGTAATAAACCCGTGAAAGTGATAAATGAGATACAATGAATATAAGAAGTTCTTATATTTTGAACTGCGGTATTAGATACGTATGATGCACGATCCTCGCAGTAGATAGCGCTATTTATGCAATAGCGAAAATCAGACCTGAAAAAAATCAGGCCTGTACGGGACTCGAACCACTGACCTCTGCGATACTAATGCAGCGCTCTACCAATTGAGCTAACAAGCCAACTGGGAGCAGGCCGTTAAGTTGATTCGTAATAAACCCGTGAAAGTGATAAATGAGATACAATGAATATATGAAGTTCATATATTTTGAACTGCGGTATTAGATACGTATGATGCACGATCCTCGCAGTAGATAGCGCTATTTATGCAATAGCGAAAATCAGACCTGAAAAAAATCAGGCCTGTACGGGACTCGAACCACTGACCTCTGCGATACTAGTGCAGCGCTCTACCAAATGAGCTAACATGCCAACTGGGAGCAGGCCGTTAAGTTGATCAACTTAACGGCCTGCTCGCAGTTGGCTTGTTAGCTCAATTGGTAGAGCGCTGCACTAGTATCGCAGAGGTCAGTGGTTCGAGACCCGTACAGGCCTGATTTTTTTTAGGTCTGATTTTCGCTATTGCATAAATAGCGCTATCTACTGCGAGGATCGTGCATCATACGTAAAGACCTACACGTCGAGGGACAAGAGCAGGACAGCGCAAACAAAGGCAGATTGGGATTTGCAGGGGGAATGGAACTCGCAAGATTCAGCAACTTCCGAACTTTAATGGGGGTTTCTTTGCCAGGAACTTAATCCTTTACAGGAAACCTCATTTACATAACCAACCGGCGAACATATTAAATATTCAAAATGACACCCTTCCAAGTAGCAATATAAACAACTGCATTGTTCTAGATTGTGCCAAGGAAAACAGAATAGCCAGTACTGAATGGTCACCCAAAGTTCCTAAGATCATGTTAGCGAATGTCATGTCTTTAGCCCCCAAAATGGATGAAGTTAGCGAGTTTATCACTCGTAATCACATCAACCTTGCGTTCGTTACGGAAACCTGGCTAAAGGACTCTGTGTTGGACACCGTTGTTGACATCCCCGGGTTTGCTATTGTGCGTGAGGACAGGAAGACACTAGAACACGGTGGTGTGTGCCTATATTAAAGAAAAACGGTGTAAATATAAACAACTGAACGATTTAAAGTGCTGCGATAATCATGAGACATTGTGGCTCTATCTAAGACCAAACCGCCTCCCTCGGGGGTTTTCCTGCATAATCGCGACAGTGATCTATCACCCCCACCCCCTCCAAGGCGGATGGGACATCTATCCGGGAGCATTTGTTCCAGTCCCTCGCCCTAGCGGAGGCGCGATATCCCAACTGTGGATTGGTCGTCACATTGGATTTCAACCGCTTGGATATGAAGGGCTTGCTGAATCACTTTCGTCTCCAGCAAATAGTTAAAGTTCAGACTCGGAAGGATGCCATATTAGACTTGGTGCTCACTAACAGGCAAGAATACTATAGTCCGCCACAAGCCTACCCTCCATTCGGGTTGTCGGATCACAACGCTGTTGTTGTGTCGCCAAAAGATGGTAAACGTGATATAAACAGAAAGCATGTTGTTAAAAGGTGTGACTTACGTGAGAGTAACAAGGCTGACTTGGGGAGATATCTAACCTCTATTGATTGGCCTTTATTGTTCGCTCCTACGGATAGTTGCCAGGAAAAGTGGGAGATTTTCCACACTGCTGTACATACAGGGCTTGATATTCTGATGCCTGAGAAAGAAATTCGTACCTGTAGTGCGGACGCTCCTTGGATTGACCATAAGCTGAAGTCAATGATACTGAAAAGACAGAAAGCGTTCAAATCATATGGCGCCGACTCTGCCCAATTCAAGTTCTTCCGAAATCTGGTTAACCGGGAAAGAAAGGCATGCAGAGCTAAATATTATGAAGTGCGAATTCAGAATTTAAGACAAGAAGCCCTAAAGAAATGGTGGGACGAAGTAAAGCGTCTGAGCGGCTCAAAAAGAAAAAATGGCGGCCTTTTGAGCCAGATTGACCTGGAAGGTTTTTCAGAATTGTCATTAAAAGAAAAGGCCAACACCATCAATGCCGCGTTATTAGAACCGCTGGAGGAGTACAGGCTGCCAACCCCACTAGAGTTTCTCTCCATGGAGGCGGATACAACACCAGAGATCCTGCGCGTGAGTGAACAACGTGTTCAGAAGGTTCTGTCTCGCCTTAACCCTGGGAAAGCGTGTGGGCCTGATAGAATTCCCAATTGGCTACTGAAGGAATATTCAGATGCAGTGGCTTTCCCAGTGACGGAAATCCTTAATGCCTCCTACTCCGAGCAGCATTTACCAAGAATGTGGAAGTTGGCTGACGTGACACCCCTGCCCAAAAAGAAATCAGTAAAGGAACTGAAAAAGGACCTAAGACCTATCTCGCTTACTCCCTGCATTTCTAAGGTCGCAGAAGGGTTTATTGTGGACGACTACGTCAAACCAGCAGTTATGAGTATCATTGACGACAGCCAATACGGGGCAATACCAAATTCCTCCACGACTATGGCCTTAATTAGCATGTTACATAATTGGTCTATTAACACTGATGGAAATGGCGCTACCGTAAGNGGCCCGGGTTCTTTGATCCCATAGTAATTGAAGGCAAAGAGTTGGAGGTAGTTGATAGCGTAAAACTCCTGGGCCTTCATATAGCTAGCGATTTGACCTGGAACAGTCATATCTCAGAAGTAATCAAAAAGGCCAGTAAGAGGTTATATTTTTTAGTACAACTAAAGAGAGCTAGGGTTCCCTTACAAGACCTAGTACTTTTCTACACATCATGTGTAAGATCTGTAACAGAGTACGCGATACCTGTCTTCTATAATGCGCTTCCGCAATATCTAAAGAATGAGCTTTTACGTATTGAGAAACGGTCAATTTTCATTATAACTGCGGGTGATTGCGCGGTTGCTAAAGATTTAGGAATACGACCTATCTTAGAGCATTACGAATTTCTATGTCAGAAGCTTTTTAAAGGTATCTTAGACAACCCTTGCCATAAGTTAAAGGCGCTTCTTCCACCCATACATAAACCCAGCTATAACTTCAAAAATAAGCGCCAATTTAATATGCCACGCCTTCGCACTTCCAGAACGATGAACACTTTTATATTTGCTATGGCAAAGTTTAATGGCTAGATTTTTATCTATACGATATCCTTTACTTTTGTTACGGCACGCGTGATAAAGATAGTAATAATAATGATGATAATGATAATGTAGATACTTTTAATTAAGTTACATTTATTTTAGTTAATTTGCATTAATAGCTAATATATTTTATTTTATTTATTATTATGTTATAATATTGTAAACTGCTGGTATAATAAGATGAGTAATTAGGTTTTTGAATTTTAAATTTTGAATTCTAAATTTCTTGGATTGTAATAATGTGTAATTCAGCCCTCGGGCTGCAAATGCTTTTGAGATGAAACTATCTATCTATCAATATTACTTTGATGCATGAGTACCTACCTAGGCGCCGGAAACAATTTATTATAAAAAATTTCACACAATTCAATTGTATTTACCAGTATTTACAAGAAATACCGTGACAAACAGATCCACCTTTCGGTGCAATTTGAGGTTAAGAGGAAAACAGAAGGTATAAAAAAAGGCATTTACGCACACTAGATATTTTCTAGACCTCTGTGGAAGCCATTTCAAAGACAAGAATATTTTCAAAAGGAAATGTGCATTCGTCTCGTATTTTGGAGAATCATCCCTAACAATCCACCGAGTACAGATTTAACGTTTTTTTAGTAATGCCGCTAGCAGTCCAGACCGTTTTGATTTATAAGTTCCATAAGCAGACACACCAATCGTATGATTTATTCATTTCAAGGCTATTCGATCTACAGAAAGCAATACATAATTCTATTGACAAACTGGACATACGATCAATGCACAATAAACACGAGCTTTACTTAAATCGCTTAAAAATCCGTAATTACAGCCCCGTACAATCATGATCACTTCTCTGAAGATAGCCAGTTAGACTGATTCACAGGATAGTGATACAGAACAGGTCTTAGAGGAGCGGTAATGGGTGAAGTTTTTACACGATTAAAGCAAACTTCTGCTTCTTTTTATTCCGCTCACATCCAAAAAACGGTTACAACACCAGAGAGAAAAACTAAATACATGTATCATCATGATACTAATTCTTAAAAAGAAAGTTTGAATAACAAAAGCAAAAGAAACACCTGGACCAATCATAGGTCAAATTAACTCTTCCTGTGAAATGTTTCAAATTTAAAATAACAACGGCAAAACATAATATGCACAATAACAACAATGGGTCAGCGAAACAGGTCATCGAAATGCGTGTGTTCTTAGTTGGAATATCTATGAATGTACCTTGTGAGCTCAGTCAAAACAAGCCCTCTTCACGTGGCTAGATATTTTTCTTAGAGTCGATAAAAAATAATCAAAGAAAATCAAGTGAATGGTTTTTTCATTTAGCTTTTCATTTAGTTATTTAGAGTTTTCAAACGTTTTTAATCAGTACCTGTTGTTATTTTAGTATTTAAAGCCTATTAAATTTATCGTTTATTATGTTGACTTGATAACATGTGACGTTATGTTATCGTCAAAACGTCGTTGACTAGCCTTTTTTAGCCTTTTAAAATGTATTTTAACGATTTTAGAAGATTCTTTATCATCAAATAGTAATATGAGAATATTAATAATATCAAGGGGCTACCTCGAAAGCCTTGTGGTTACCCTGGGCTCTAACACTGATTACCTATGCTCCTTTCCGTCCGTTCGTTTGTTCCATCATTAGGGAACGTGGAAAAACAACAGAACTAATTGGCAGAACAATAGCTCAGCACGTGCGTTTTGAAACTTTGTACATTTCTTAGCCGTCCTATGCAAAACAACAACGTGAAATCGCCAAGATTTGCGTCGTCTGCGAACCGAAACCGCGACGGAAAATTATTTTAATTTCCATTTGGAACTCAACGCTACTTTTATACGTCATGCTGAAGTTGAGCTGTGGCGCCGTATAAGACAGTAAGCTCCTG